GCGTATTTTGAAACACTGTCCCTAGTTTTTAAACGTGGAGCGTGACAAATTTATTCACAAGAAGCGTACCGCTTCTCCTCTTACGAATTACATCTATATGCCTGGCGAATGACACGAATAAACATTCAAGTATTCGAAGGTCACCGTCTATTTATAACACGTCTGGATTTTAGGGGTCGAATCGATTATTTTTTCCTATGGAGTAGGTGTTATGATCGAACCGGGGATCTCAACGGGCTTTGCATTCAGCACCTGGAAAAGGGCTTTAAAAAGATTTATATCGATACCGGACGATACGAGGCGGAGTTGGCTTCATCGTCGCGATCTCTGACGCGATAACATGCACCGTGCCAGCTTAGATAAATTTAGGTAACCTCTCCGAAATAAGACATGCATTTGGTAGTCTAAGATTGTGGCGTTGTTGACTTTTTTCCCCTGCCCATTTTATAGAAAAGTCATTGCAACAAATACTTTGCTTTAGTACCTCTTCCACTCAAAATCCTCTCCGGTGTTGAAATCGGCTTGATGATGAGTGCTACATTAATTTGATTTTCTTACCTTCACAGTTGCGCCTGTCACTTTTTAGCTTGAATCCATCGTTGCAATCACAAAAGAAAGAAGCTGGGGTATTGATGCATTTATGCTCACATTGTTTTGGCGAGTCACTTTTGCATTCGTCAATATCTAATGAAAATCGTGCGAAATATAGGTTATTTTAAGAATTGGCTTTTTCAATACAATTATCAATCAAAATAGTGTTAAAATTAACTTCTGATGTTCTCGCTCACTCAAATCGACTATTGGCAACGTAGGTGATTCGTGGAAATAAAACTATGTACGGAGAGTAACTCTTAAAAAAGCAAAATGAGGAAGCAATAGAACCGATGACTTAGCAAAACTATAAAAGTAGTACAAAATTATCTGCTTAAATTAGTACAAAGTATGCATAAGACTAATGTATTTGGGATACAAAAAATGGCGCAAAATATTTCTTTTTGCCTCCTAAGAGTATAGAAAGTGCAAATAAAATTTGTAGAAGTTAAAGTCGACCTACAAATGAAAATGGAGATAGGCTTATTTTGCCTGATATTCTTTTTGTTTTTGGTCGAAGCAAGGATTGTACCATGTAAGATCCTCTGTTGTGTGCTATTTAACCTGCCTATTCCTTACTTCCATTCGATAAACCTCAAGTACTTCCTGTCGATTCATTTACATGTCAACCCACCTGCACACTGCGCTCCATCTCCTGTGTACCCTGATGGACATGGTCCACATTTATATCCACTGGAATTTGCTGGTGCAGGAAGATCAGTGCACTCAACTCCCGCGTAACAAGGCTCACCATTCAATTCGCAGGCATCAATGTCGCTGTCACAGAACCTTCCTGTGTACCCTCCCTGGCACACACAGCCCAGGTATACAAACTTGCTGTCAGTGTTTTCTGCGTCACCTTCTTCTGGTTCTACACATTGACCATCATGTTGGCACGCGCACATTCTGATGGTTGGACTCCAAATGGCGCTGGCACCTTGGTCGTCCGTAGCAACGAAAGTCAGATTAAACTAAAAAAGAAAAATATTTTTTGTGAATGTTTGTTAGCTTTCTTATTCAACCCCAACCATTATCAAATCCACCCTTTAAGTGCCGCACGTTCTGCAAAAATTACTACAGTTACGGACGAGGAACCATTTAGCTGTTCTACATGTAGTTCTGTTCTGACCTCTCTTGATCACATAATAATTGTTTGGTCAGGCCTCTATTATAATAAAAAATATGACCTTTCTTCTTATAATCACGTTAATTATTTCGCAACGTTATTCCCCCGTAATGGTAAATTTTCGATGTGATTACGAAACTAAGTATGATACACGGAATAGCAGCAACTATCGTCCACATTGTAGAACTAATATCAACCAGTTTACGATCTTGGAATCCCATATACCATGATTCTACCCTATCCTACAGATTCTACATCTTTAAGACTTCGCCTAAAAAATTCCTCATTGACACAACTCGCCCGTATGTACATCTTGTGAGGAATCCAGGTGTTATGATCTTCTAGCTTTTATTAGGTTTCCTCGCACATTGTTTATAGATGACCCTATATTGTAATTTTATCCAGCTTGATGATAAATTGTTATAAAATAATGTTGTCAGGATTATTCCTTTAGATTGATGTAAAAAGCTGTAATTATTTTTGGGTGTGTAAGTGGTAGAATAAATGAATAAAATAACAAATAAATCTACTTTTTCGTTTGGTATACTTTAATCATTCATTTAGTTATCTAGCTTTCAATCTGTTTTTTTTTTTTCCCAGCTACCTCTCTATCGTAAAAAAAGGTGTATTTTGCTTTGAGTTGGTCAGTTATGAGTACTTAAAGTGATTTTGTCTTCTCTGATATTTTCCGATCTATTTCCAGTTGGTAACATCAGTGGTGAATCAGTTGCGCAGACTATCAATTCCGATTAACTTAGATAATCAGATCACATAGGTAATAATCATTCTAATTATAAAATAATAATAACTATAATGGTAAAATAAAGGATGACTGGTTCAGCCAGGGAGAGGGTTTGTGATCATAGTTTATACCTTCTGTGATGACGTAACTTTCCAATAAAACAACAGAACGTTTCCAGTTTGGTTCCAAGTGGCTCCCACAGGTTTGTTAATCACGCGAAAGGTGATGGCGCTGTCGTCCTCAGCTGTTATGTTCAGTTCAATTATTTTGTGAAGTGTGGCGTTTATTTCATCGGAAGTGTTTACTATCTTGGGTGGAAAGTTGTCTGTGATAGCAGAAAAAAAATGTTTTTACCCCTAATTCTTATGAGAATATAGGTTTTAGCTTATGATTTATAAGTCCAATGCTGGCTCAAAAACCACAAAATCATTAACTTAAATCGATATCAGTTTGAAGTTCACTCTGTTATAGTTCACTCTGTTGTCTTCTCCATATTGTTAACGTTAATGAGAGGAAATCATTTTTCTCTGTCCAAAGGACATTGTGAGGAACTTTATGTTTTGTGTAATATACCACTTGAATGATAGGTGGACCTGTCTTGGAAGTTGTCTTCATTAAAGGGCTAAGAAGAAAAAAATTTAAAAAAAGAGTTATTAAAAGAGGTAAATCTACTCACTAAGTTGTTTCGATTCATTCACCAGCTGGACACTTATATCTTTGGTTACCAGACCCACAGACAAGTCGTTGGTGGAAGCTACATCAAACAGACACTCGTGATCATCTCCACATTGTGCTTTAGCTTTTATTTTTATGCTGTCATTTTGCCAAGTGATGTTATCAGCAAACATAGGCTCGAAATCAAGGTCCGAAAAGCTGGCCACGCTTTCATTATCAGCATAAGTGAAAAGAGACTGGGACTGGTTGATTTGCCCTAAATGACATGAGTCAAAGATTTAATGTCATTTGAAAACAAAATGGGCTAAGGATAAACAATGACTGAGTTTGACATTCAATGAGATAAATTGCAGCAAAACTTCCATATACTGAGGCACACACTTTTAAGCCAGAGTTCAATTGGATGTTTTGGTCCTTATTTTGTGCAGATTGTTGTTGCAAAATCCCGTTAAAGGAACTCCTTTCTGTTTTGTTTAATGGCAGATATTAGATCTGAGCCCGCGTAAAGGCGGTTTTGTTTAAAGTGCTCGGAATCGAGGCACTTGGGCCAAACGCTTTGTAAATTCTCAAAGGTATCACTGTATATTTCAAAACAAGTCGCATTCTACGCTATTTTTTTTACTTTCATCGACAACCTGAAGCATTCAAAAGGTAAAGATAGCAATGGTTAGACATTGTATTGCATTCCGATGCAACAACCGGAGCGTTAAACCACATTGCAAACAACTTTCGTGGCATTCACTGCCACTGAACAACAAGAAACTTCTGGCGACTTGGGTAGTCAAGATCAAACAGGAAAACACGCCCGTGAGTAAAAATTCCTTTTTAATGCAGTGAACATTTTGAAAAGGAATGCTGAAGTCTTAAGTCAGAATCAGTTCCGACAATATTCAGTTTCTCCGAACAAAAAACCAAAAGGAAGGCTCCGAAGGAAAGACGCTCGATTGATGATGACTTTCCGGCCAGCATATGACTTGGAAAAGCATTCCTTTTCAAAATGTTTACTGCATAAAAAAGAATTTTTACTCACGGGCGTGCTTTCCCATTTCATCTTGACTAGCCAAGTCGCCAGAAGTTTCTTGTTGTTCAGTGGCAGTGAATGCCCCGAATGTTGCTTGCAATGTAGTTTATCGCTCCGGTTGTTGCATCCGAATGCAATACAATGTCTAACCATTGCTATCTTTGCCTTTTGAATGCTTCAGATTGTCGATGAAAGTAAAAAAAAAAAAAAAAAGTAGAATGCGAGTTGTTTTGAAATATACAGTGATACCTTTGAGAATTTACAAAGCCTTTGGCCCAAGTGCCTCGATTCCAAGTATCTTTTAAAAAAACCGCTTTTACGCGGGCTCAGATCTAATATCTGCCATTTGGGCAGCATGGCGATTACAAATATGTCTTTGCTATTGTCCTTTGCTAATATATCATGTTACAAATCCAAAGGGTAAGTTAATGCGATATTTGATGGTAGTTGTACTTACATTTCACACCAAAACCAAAGTGAATCTCCCTCAGTGATAACGACGATGACAAAACTGTTCCATCAGGCAGTGTAAAGTCATCTTCAGTGTCATCGTTCCATGTTCCCAGCAATCCTTTAGTGGCGTTTTTAAAGTTATCTCCGAGAGTTACAACAAAGGACATCATTTCCTTCTTCTCACAGAACTGCACTGACGATGTTGACGGAAAGGAAACTTGTAAACAGTCTTTGTCTGTTTTGGAGACAGAAAGATTTCTACCAACCTCCTCAGTTTTGTTTGTTAAGTTGTTGAAGCCGTAATAGGATTCTCTGTCAATCAATATATGGAAGCCACCTGGGCGAGAAAATTAAAAAAAAAAGTTAGACGTATCCAGAAATGGTCTATTGTTCCGGCTCAATTTCACACATTAAGAATATTTCGAGAATATTTCGAGAATCAAAAATCAGTGACGAAAAGTCGATTTTTTTTTTATTTTGTCAAAACATCCCTTTCTGCGAGCTAGTTTCGAAAAAAATTTCAAAGTTCCAGCGATTTTCTTTCCGGCTGAAATTTAAAAAAGTTTGAAAATTTGTTAAAATAGCCGTTTTCGCTTTGCCAAAGCGGTCAAATCGTCACGCAACCTTAGAAAGATGTTGGCAGCGCTAAACAAGTCCATTCACCATAAAACTTTGGATATTAATTATAATGTCACCACACAATAAAAGCATATAAAATTTTTCTTGTAGATCTCTTTGGTATGGGTTTTATCGTCATTTTCATAAAGGTGTATTTTGCACGTCTTTTTGGGAGACAAAATAAAGGCTAACTTTGACCGGTTTAAACGACACCTGGTACCAAACATTTCGACTTTAAAACCATATCAGACGAGAGCTCATTTATCAAACTATACACCTGGAAAGTTTGACGGTTGGAAATTAAGTCTTGTCTTGGTAGTTGAATAAAACGTGATGCCACCCAAGCGCCATGTAAGCCACAGGCAGCCCAAGCTCACTAATAGAAAAGCAGACGTGACTCTTACCGTGTTGCGCAACGTTTTATATTTATAAAGGTTTGTAGGGGATGTTATCGATATGCCTTAAAAGAGAGAAAAAATGTCTTTTTTTGAAATAAAATGGGCTTACCTTATTGCCTTGTTGTTTTCTTTGTTGATTCCTAGCGTCTCAGGCCATTTTGAAGCATTTTCGGCGAGTTAGCGCTATGTTGGTGTTCAACT